GGCATGTCGCGATAAACAATAAATCAATTAATCGCATGATAAATGAAAATTATCAGCCTCATTTTCATTTATCAGCTTTATCATTTCTTCGTGTCTCTCTTTCTACTGAAGACACTGGATGACAAAAAGTCAACTCCGGTGCTCTTCACTGACCCCTCCCTTTCTCTTTTTTCTCTTTTCTTTAAAATCTGTTTTAACCGTCCAAAATCAATCAATTGTTAAAAGCAGCTACGCTGAGAAGCTAAGCTATGAGCTAAGCTAACAGGCCGACCTTGGGGGAAAAAACCTCCGTCTTGTCGAAGCTCCAAAATTCACAGTTGAAACTCGTGCCTTTGTATAAAAAAATATATTTTTCTCTGCAAAAAGAAGCTGAGAACTTGTTCACTGATGTTTTTTTTTTATTAAAAGCTTTGTGTGAAAAACGCTATGCTAAAGAGCTCAAACCGCACCAAGCATCCACCGTTTTGTGAAGCGAAAAACAGGAAGGAGAGACAGCCCATGTCACGTCAAGAGGCCTCCCTTCCATTTTCTTAAAGAGACACATTACTCACTCCCTCACTATTCATCATTTGGTTCAGTCTTATACTGCCATTCGGTGGTCAAAAAAGGTACTAGGTACAAAACAAGTTACCAAAATTTCTTCTTAAAATTGACAATAATTACTAATTATTGTCAAATTCCAAACAATACTATCGTTTATCACAATAATTTCTTTTTTTTTTTTTTTTTGATTATTATCACAATAATTTCTGAGACAATTAATCACCCAGCAAAAGTTGTTATCATGACAGGCCTACTGTAATTACAATTAGATTCAGTACACTAAGAAATGTCAGTTACCAATTAGTTTGGTTTGTAAGAAGACAAACATAGTGTCAAAACTTCATTTTAATGTTATGCCCCATCCTGATAGCACAAGGCGACAGTGGAGAGGAATGTCTTCCCTTTAACAGTACGAAACTTCCAGCAGAACCAGACCCAGAGTGTGCCTCGACTGGTTGAGGATTGAGAGGACAGGAAGAGATGCAGAAGTCATGTAGTATAGTCATTCTGTTCATCTACACAATAACAAGTAAATTAAACCTTCAGGGTCAGTTCCAAAACAGTAAAAAATGAATAAAATAGATTTACCACAATTAAAACATAGTTGCCATAGACAGAAATGAAAGCAAATTATATTTATTCCCGCAACGATAATTTTTCTTAGTATAGGAGGTGCAACAGAACATCAGTGAGGTACACCTAACCTGTCTCACGACAATCCAAGCCCAGCTCACGTTCTCTAAAGTGGGAGGACAATCCACCACTTCTGCTTCACAACAATAAGAAGAGCCGACAGAAAAGAATCAATAAGTGATATAGCCAGGGGTGGGAGTAACAAATACTCACATTACTGTAATTAAGTTGATTTTTTGGGTACTTGTACTTTTATGAGTATTTCTTTCATGTGTAATTTTACTCATACTTAAGTATAATTTAGACCATGTACAGGTAATCTACTTCACTACTTTTAAAATCAGAAGTCACTTCTGAGTACGGCCGCAATTTGAATTAATATTCAAACCGATCATCTTTGTGTCCAATAAGGCTCTTAGATCACGAATGCGCCAATTACCTATGACGTAAGCACAGGACAACTCTGTAGAGTAGAGTCATTTATGGACCAAAGAGTTGGAGAAAAGACCAAACGGAGACAGACAACACTGTCAACAGAGAAAATGACGAGGTAAAGGCTGAGGACGAGTGCTCGTGGTCGTACGTGGAGGAATGTTTCATATGCAGAGGGCAAAAAGAAGACAGCGTCCAGATGTAAACTTTGTTTGATCTCTACGGTGACAGCAGCTCACAAGACTTCAGCATCTAATCTCAGAAAACATATTGTGGTATACGAGGTTTTACAGCTACCTGTATGATATTGATTTTTTTATTGTTTGTGTGTGTGTGTTATTAGTTTGGCTAAGTATGCAAAGATCTTAGATATTGTCACCAGGGCTTAATTTGTAAACTGCCTGATGCCGGAACAGCGGGCAGGCGGTCTGTGGGGCCTCTCACAAAAAATTTTGAATAACAGAGATGCCATTTCCTGCATTTTGGTGTATTTTAACGTGTTGCTATTCATCAACATTTACCTACATTTGTAGACACTTAATAAAATTACTATTTTGGAGAAGAACAGCAGGTTGTGTGTGTGAATGAGCAGCTTCGATTCTGTCCGGTGTCCTAACCCCCCCCAGCCTCCTGCCTCCCCTCACTTCACGGTTCTGAGCTGAACTCCTCTCAGCTGAATTCAGTCCTGGTTGTTGCTCCTGCTCCAGTCTCGTATTTTTAATAAATAATCTAAATAAAATGTGCAATGTCTTTGGACTTTTAGGGGCGGAGTTGCCGGATCCGAACAAAGAGTTGTGGGAGCACAACGGCTCAAAATGAGAGAGTTCCCGGATCTTGTTCCGGCAGGATCCGGCTCAAATTAACCACTGATTGGCACTGCCATCAGTTTAACTGGTACTAAAATAAGACAGAGCTTCTGAGAAATGTGCTTTGAATGTAGCTGTTATAAACAGATAATCAAATAGAATGCCTTCTATTGACACAATAAAACATCAATTAGTTAAAAAGTCATTAATACTCTGAGTAGTTTTAGAGAAGAGTACTTTGTACTTTTACTCAAGTATTTTTATAACACCAGTACTTTTACTTGCAAATGAGTACAATTTAAGCAGTGTAATGGCACTTGTACTTGAGTACAAATTATCAGTACTCTTTCCACCTCTGTTTGTCCACTCAGGACAAACAGTTGGAGGCACCAAGGTTGGGCTTCAAACCTGGGTTCTGCAGGTTCTCGTGTGAAGGTTCAAATTCTGGGTAGATTGGTTTCTTCCCACAGGCTAAACTGTGCGTGTTGATAATTGCCAGTTCTGCGTTGACTTTAGGTGTGAGTGCGTGCATCGTCTTAAGCCACCATCTTTGTCTTTCCACATGAATTTTGTTCTGCAGCGAAGAGAAGTTCACGCTTCTAGCCACAATAGCACACACAGGTTTGTTCAGAAACTTTCTCACTGCGCTGTAAGCAACACTTTGAAACGCAGACATGGATCAGTGACTTTATGAGGCAAACATATTCATTCAACCTTTATTTGGACGGGTTAATTCCATTGATATGTTTGATTAACTGCTGCATTATATACACTTGTGATCTGAAGTTTAAACACACACATTGCAGGTATAAAAGCATGTGAGCTTTGGGCTTCTAATAAATACTGAACAGTTCTTTAATTACATGCTGTATTATATAACTTTAACAAGTTTTAATAGCATGTTTGAGTTGAATGTGGATTATCATTATTCCACACAGGGTCAAAATTGTACATACAAGATCAAATAAATGCATACACTCACCTAAATCATTTTATAAGTATTGCATGAGGCTCTAGGTGTCTTTTTTACCTGACAAGACTCAGATTAACTTCCTGTTAGTGGTCATGATTGACTGCAGCTGTTAGTTTCTCTTTGCATAAAGCAATACATAAAAAAACTTAGTTAATGGCACCTAAAGGAATGACCAATGCACATCTTCATTTTGCACATTTTCTCTCTTTCGCTCTCAACGAAGATGGGCGCTCTTACCCTCTCTCCCTCCCTCCTGCTTTTTTGCTGTCTTGTCCTGTCAACCTTTCTTTTACACATCTTCTGAATCAAAAATTATTATGGATTTGGTCAGCTGGTCCCTCAACGTAATTGATAAAAAAATTTCCACCAGACGACACGGTGCTGGAGAGCCCTCATGCCCTGAACGGACCCACACAGCTAGGTACTGTATGTCATGGATTCCTGGAATGAGTGGAAGATGGCATTCCTATCTGTTCCGTCCATGAAGGACGTAGAGGATGTGTACATTATTGGATTTATGATAAAAGGGTTTCTGCTTTTTGGAATCAGCAGATACCTAGGATATTGACAAACTAGGACAACGTCGGCAGCAGTTTCGGCCATGGTAAAGCTGCTAGCCTTATGTGAAGGATTAATTCATGCCTTGAGCTCTCAAACTCATGCTTAATGAGCTCAACTGCAAACTGGACGCAATTTCTGAGAATCGTAGACGACTTGTGGTTCCTGGAACTCGCAAGCATGAAGGTTTCAATCTTGGAGAAAGCTAACTGAGCACGGACCGGGTGAAATGTCCATAAATCTGTTTGAATTCGCCATTGAGTGTAACAGCAGAACTGAAGGCAGACAGAAATCAGAGTCTGGCGGCCCAAACAATTATTGCTTGTCTGAATTTGGCCTCCCTGCTGGCCTTGGACAGGCCAACTTATCTCAAATTGATTCTGGACGATATGTAAACTAGAAGGTTCTGATGTGATCAAACAGGATCACAAAAGCCTGATCTCACACCTATTAAAAGTTTGAGATTAAGCGTAAAAGTCTGGTTTGTGTCTGGAATTGCGGGAGAAAAAACAGATTTAAAGAAAGTCATTATAAGCCCCAAACTACCAGGAGATAGACTAACTTCTAACCCCATCAACCTATGCTCATGTAATTTATTAGATCAGATAAGAAGCCGCATCAGTCACGTCAAGGTTTCACTCTACAGCGCATTTAAAAACAAATTTCATTGATCAAAGTGCTTCTTTCATCTCAGGCAACAAAGTATTATACGGCTGTGTGAAAATGATGAGTTATGATTAAGTGAAAAACAAAAAAGCACCGTAAATCTTCAGCTGTTTTTGTTTTCCCAAGCCTCTCCTACAGATGCTCTTTAATGGGATTTTTTTTTGTTTAACTCAAAAAAGGCCCATAAGAGCAGATTCATCAAAATGACTGAAACTCCTTACAGAAAAAGGAAGGACTTTTCATAGAAAAACCAACAACAGAACATTTGAAGTGACATAATTTATGTGAGTTAAAATGGGAAGAGTTCAAAAAACTGTATTTTTACTATTACTTGGTACAGAAAATTAACCAGGATATGATGCCCAACGTCACTTGTACCATATACTTACAGGAATTTTCCATTTACACGAGGGCCACCCTGAAGCCTGGCCTCCGAGTCCTCTCGCGTTATGGCTCCGTGGAACCAGGGCATTCGTTCATGAGCGGTGGTGGAGATTAGTTTCTCGAGTTGAGGCCTCTGGCTGATGATGGCCTGTTCCAGGGCTGCTCCCTGCAGAGATACATGACTCATAGTTGTAATATTGAGCTTATTCGTGAAGTATATGCCTAACATGCAAGCAGGTTAATGAGTTAATCAGACAACGTGAGAGGCTGACATGGTGGAAATATTGCACAGAGGATGCTAAATAAGGAGGTGCCAGAAAGGGAGGTTTGTGGATGTAGAGGATCTGTAGATGGTTGGTGAGACAGAGGATGCAGCCAGAAGAAGAAGAGAGGACAGAGCTTAAACCAACCTGCAAGTTCCAGGTCTGCTTCACGTACTCCCGGATGAGTTTTTCCTTCAAGTCCTCAAACGGCCCCACCTTTGGCTGCATGTTCTTGGGCCGATTGCAGGGTTTCTTCAGCAGACACACCAAACCGTCCATCTCCTGGGAGTGATAGTCGACCACATCCATGGGGATTCGGTAACTCTTCCCACCAGCTATGGCATACGTGTCGTTGGGTTTTCTTTCGATTGTGTAGTGGTAGATACGACCTGCGTTTGAAACGGACAAAGCGAAGCCTCCGAGATAATTTCGGCTTTGCCGTAACAGGTACAGGCCGTTGCTCAAGCCTGTCTGCCGCAGGTAGTCCTCCGCCTCTTCCCTGGTGATGTTGCCATAGAAGAATGGCAATGCGTTCACGCCGTCAGCCATGTTGGGTTTTTTTAGAAGGCAGCTGCCTCTTAGAAGCCTGGTTTCTCCTCCAGGATAAAGCTAATCTGTAAACAAATTAAAACGAGAAAAATTACAAAACAACCACTAGATCGCCAATATTTTATACTGCAAAATAAATAATAAGCAGCTTAAAAACTGGACATTTCCAATAGAAGGTACTGAATGACTGATGTCCCAACATCGTTTGTGGGAGTTTTGGTCAAACCTTGTGGATGGTGTTATCCTAACTCTCATTGGATCTGTTAGTGCTTGAAGGGTGTGTTGTGGATGACTCTCAGCTACTACCACACCAAGTTTTAGTCCATTGTCTGTCAAACTGAGTGAGGTATATGCACATTTGTATTTGCTCAGTTTAATTGGGTTGACTCCAAAAGTTATTTTCTGATCATTTCACCAAAATCCATCCAGTTAATAGACACCACTCGTTAATGACAAGTTTTCAGAGAAAGTATTGAACGATGCGTAGTGTTTAAATTATTTGTTGGAGATAAGGATCAGCTACGATCGCGCCAAATTATAGCTTAAACTCAGTAAAACTGGCTGAGTTACAACCATTTCTGTGTTGGCTGAGCGTGATGAGTTGTAGCAGACATTTTGAATTGGGTTGGCTCCAAAAGGTGAATGTTCTAAGATTCTTATCCAGGGATCATGTTCTGAGAGTTTCTTTAGGATCCGTTCAGTGGTTCGTGAGATATTTTGCTAACAGACAAATAAAAAGGCAAATAACATCACCTTCAGTTGCGCACATGAACAAGCATAAACTGACAACAGCTGGCTTTTACCATTTAAAAATATGATTAGATTTATTTTACAATCTTACAATTAAATTAATATAATACAGTGAAGCTAATTGTTTCATTTAAATTACATATAAAATAAAGGATTTAAAGGCATATAGATAGATAGATAGATAGATAGATAGATAGATAGATAGATAGATAGATAGATAGATAGATAGATAGATAGATAGATAGATAGATAGATAGATAGATAGATAGATAGATAGATAGATAGATAGATAGATAGATAGATGGATAGATAGAAGGATGGATGGATGGATGGATGGATGGAT